AATTCTTGAAATAATAGAACCCACCTAATTAATTGAGACTTGGCTTCTTTCTTACTAAGCAAATATTAATGACAAAATGATTAGAATATATAACTATTTTGTTATCTAAGAAATAATGTAAAAATAACGACTAATATAGTGTCATTCACTTGAGCTTCATTCATAGTCTTACTTGCATAATAAATGGCCATTAGTTTCTTGTCAATTTTTTGATCCAACATAGCTCCTACTATAAAATCAAAGACATCACACATTAGTTCAAAATGTAGGCTCTAGTAAGGAGATTGCAAAATAAAAGCCTCCACAAGTGTATTCTTGATATGTGAGAAAACTTCACTTATCTCAAAATTTGTATTCTTAGAAAGTAAGTCAAAGGTTCAGATAGTTTAGCAAAGTCTTTTATAAATCTTATGTAGAAGCCTACATGGTCCAAAAAAGACAAGTTATATAATGGACTAGGGAGGGAAGGTTCTGAATCACTTCTATTTTGGCCTTATCTACTTCTAGTCTATGGCTATTGACTAGATGGCTGATAAGTCTTCATTATCATGAGTTAATAATTAGTAAATAATATAGTTTTAGCCTTAACTCGTGATAAATAGACTTATATTTATGTTAAAGTGTGAAAAGTAGTTTTCAGTTGATTAATGTGATTTTTTGAGTAATTATGTGATTTTATATGAATTTATATGATTTTTACAGCCTTGCTTTTGAGATAAATGAAGAAAAAGAAATAAAACTAAAATATTGCAAAATGGGGGGACCCGCCGGCCAGCCAGGCCTGCAAGCGGGTCGGAAGCTCAGTCGGGGAGTAGCTGCGAGTAGGGGCTTGAGCGGCTTGGACCGATAGGGGTACGTGTGTGTCACTCCCCTTCCACGTCACCGGTGGCCAGCCGGCTGTGGGGCAAGGAGTGGTCGTACACGCGAGAGAAGGGACTTTGCTTAGAAAGCTAACATTACTATATATTCGCCCAAAAAATCGACGCACAACTAATGTGGGACTAAACCCGCGTCACACCTTCCTCAGAAGAGGCGGGCGACCGGTGCGGGTTCGAATCCTCCTAGAGTCAAAAGTCATATATTTTTATCTGATTATCGCGACTTTCCTATAGATCGCTGGTGAAGGATTAAGCAACGAGAATCGCTGGATCATTGGCGAAAATCTCGTCAATGCGATTCGCGGAGCATTGCTACTAAAATTTCTGAACGATTCGCGATAAAAGGATCGCGAATCCATCGAGTAAATCATCTCCGATTGATCGACGAACAAGCCATCGTCGGGAAGAGGACGATCCGCCGGGAGGCGAGTCGCCACCTCCTGAGAGCGTACCAGATTGCGATGAAAAGCCTCCTCTTGCTGCGCGGACCTGAGGATGAACCTCCCTAACACGCGCCCCACCTCCATCCAGCTCCTCTCCGTCAGGTGATAGCCGCCAGAGAGCCGCAAAGTCGCCGTTTTTCCGCTCCGCTGGGTGATAGCTGTCGGAGACGACTCGATGACCCATTTCAGTGATCTCTAGACTTCGCGAGAAGATCTAGAGATTGCCCACGTCGTCTTTGTCCAAGGAGAGCCTTCGAGGCTGTGGACACTACACAACGATCCTCTTGAACGCTCAGGATTCCGGTGCATCGCCGATGCATCGCTGTTGCGACGCCGGAACTCTATTTTCCTGCTTTCAACTTACTTTACGCTTCATTTAGTGATAGTTTTTGTGATTTTAATTTACCAAAATAGACTTTTTTCTATTACGATTCTTCCGGCTTTTACAGATCTTAATTTGATCAATTAAATTGTCTATAATCGCTTACGTAAGAATCACTGGGCGGAACTCTGTTTCCGCTTGATTCGCGTTCGCCAGGCGCTGACATCATCCTGATGTCCGTACCCTTATTTCCCTTTTTTGTGAATTTTAAATAGATTTTCTTTTCATTTCCTAGTATAAAATTCATAAAAAATCGTATTCATTGAGAAAAATTCTGAATAATTACCAGATATTATATTACATCCCTGTGATCGACTTGGAAAATTACTGCTTTTTTTGGAAGTTTTATTGAATTATAATCGATATATTTATTTAGAAATACTTCTAAATATCCGAAAATTTGTATTTTCTAGTTTTATAAATTTTATATTTGCGTGATTTAATATACAACGACTGAGTCACGTCAATGGCCCAACATCACTCCCTCTTGCACCTTGAAATATGATTTTTTCTAACTCAACACCAAGTTCTTCTCTATGCACAACCACAAGATCTTGGTTAAATTAGTCCAAACAAATCTCAAACAATTGACCAAAAACTAAGAAGTCATCCATAATTTTTTTTAAATACTCATTAACTAAATTAGAAAGCATGGTAGACATACATATTTAGAATGTGGTTGGAGCATTGGAGTAACCAATGAGCATTCTCTGAAATGTATAAGTGCGAAAGCAACATGTGAAAGGAATCTTTTCTTGGTCATCATGGTGTATAGCTATTTGATTATACCTAAAGTATCTATTTAAGAAGCATAAGAGTTTTGACCTGCTAATTTTTCTAAGATTTGATCAATGAAAGGTAAGGGAAAGTGATCTTTCTTAGTAACAATATTCAACTTTCTATAATCAATAAAACTTCCCAACTAGTAGGAAATTTAATAAGTATTTCCCCCCCTTTTCATTCCTAGTCATTATAATTCCCACTATTTTAGGCACTACATGAATATGACTGACCTAAGGACTATATGATATGACATATATGATCCATGTGTTTAACCTTTTCATGATCTCATTTTTCACAACCTCCATCATTTTAAGATTCAGCCTTCTTCGGGACTTGATAACAAATGAATAATGTGTAGAAATACAACTTAGCACATTTAATTTTACACGTCCATGTCATTATTAATGTGCTGTTCATCTTTATTTTGTATGATTTTAAACATGTCTCAAGGTATCTTAATGTTTTAAATATTTCTTAGAATTTTATGAGATTAACCTCTTCATACACATTTGGGTGGCTTATTAAACATGATTATTATGGACATTAAATATGCTTTCATGGTTTTATTAATCATTTTCTAGTGATTTTTAGGGATTTATGCCTTAGGTCATGTGTTTCATCAACGGCTATGATCCAACCATCTAACTATTGTTTGCAGGAGTGAGGAGGCATCCTTTTGACGGGAGATGGATTTGATGGCCAAGGGAGAGAGCACTAGAGAAAGCGTTCACCGATTTAATAACATGTAGCCCTACCAAAGATGCAAAGCCACTAGAACCTTTTGGCAATTTCTCTCATACGAGCAAGAGGGGGGAAGTAGGGGTACGCCATCCTATACATTTGGGGGAAAAACTAATATTATGACCAGCTTTTGATTAAGAAATTGATAGAACAAATCAAGGGTCATTGAAATGCCCTAAAATCAATTGACCAAAAATATTTAGAATCTTGAATGTACCTAATTGAAATACTAAAATAAATGAGTCCTATCGTAAGCTTGAGGTTGATCCATTAGGAATGAGAATGAGATGATAGATAACTACTATTTTATTTAATTGATATATTGAGATGAGATAAATGCTAAGAAGAAGAGGTGATGGTAAATAAGAAGGATATTTACCATTGAAAAGGGGATATAGAATTTCAACCATGCGAAGATGATGGAGAGGGAAAACACTCATGGAAGAACTGTAATACAAAATCAAAAATGTAAATCTATTTTCAAACCTACGAATACTTAGGTGATTGTTCATGTGTAGAACACATTAGACTTGGAAAAACTTACCTCATGCCTCTAAGGCCAAATGATTTCCTCTTTGAGTATGCTTCTCTGATGATCTAAACTGTGAATTCAGACTTGAATCAAATCGAAACGCATCCAAATTGATTGAAAACCTCAATGTTATTTCATTCGAGCTGACTAAATGTTAGGATATTCAACGTTAGGTTTCTGCCCCTAAATGGTGGCTTAAATGTGTGAAGGTTATACGATGGTGACATAACTTAGTCGTTGTATAGTAAATCACGTAAATTTAAAATTTATAAAACTAGAAAACACTAATTTTCAGATATTTAAAAATATTTCTGAACAAATATATCAATTATAATTCAATAATTTTTTTAAAAATAGTCATAATTTTACAAGTCGATCACAAGGATGTAATAGAATATTAGGTATTTTTTCAAAATTATTTTCAAAGAATATAATTTTTTATGAATATAATACTAAAAAATAAAAATAAAAAATATTAAAAATTTATGAAAAAGAGAAATAAGGGTGCGGACATCAAGATGATGTTAGCACCCAACGAATGCAAATCAGATGAAAATAGAGTTCAACTCGATGATTCTTACATAAGTGATTATAGATGATTTTATTAATCAAATTAAGATCTGTATAAACTAGAAGAATTGTAATTGAATGAAGTATAACTTGGTAAATTTAAATCGCATAAATTATCACTAAATGAAGTAAAAATTAAGTTGAAAGCTGGAAAATAGAGTTCTAATATAACGGCGGTAATACGTTAGTGATACATCAGAATCTTGAGTGTTCAAGAGAATCATTATATAGTGTCCACAACCTTAAATGCTCTCATTAGACAAGGACGACATATAAAATATCTAGATCTCCTTGCAAAATCTAAAGATTAATGAAATGGGTCGTCAAATCATCTCTGACGGCTGTCACCTGGTGGAGTGGAAAAATGACGACTTTACAGCTCTCTGACGACTGTCACTTAATAGAGAAGAGCTAGTTGGAAGTGGGGCGCATGTCAAGGAGCTTCATCTTTAGGTTTGTGTAACAAGAAAAGGCTCTTCATCGCATTCAGTATGCTCTTAAGAGGTGACAACTTGTCTCTCGGTAGATTGTCTTCTTCTCGACGACGGCTTGTTCGTCGATCAATTGGAGATGATTTACTCGATGAATTTGTGATCTTTTTATCACAGATCATTTAGCAATATTAGTAACAATGCACCATGAATCGTGTTGACGAAATTTTCACCGATGATCTAGTGATTTTGGCGGCTTAATCTTTTACGGACGATCTGCAAGAAATTCACGATAATCAGATAAAAATACGAGTTTTGGCTTTGAGAGGATTTAAACCTGTGCCAATTGCCTGTCTGTATGAGAGAGATTAAAATAAGTACTATAACGCTCTTATCAAGTGACGTCATCATGATATATCTTTGATATAACTAAGGGGTAGTTTAAGTATTAAGATCTTCAAAGCCTTTTGAGGGAAGGTGTGATGTAGATTTAGTCCCACATCACTTGTGCGCTGAAGTTTTGGGCGAATATATAGTAATATCACATTTGCAAGTAATAAGTCTCTTTCTCCCGCATGTACGATCACTCCTTGCCCCATAGTTGGCTAGCCACTAGTGACGTGAAAGGAAAGTGGCACACACGTGTCTCCATCGGTCCTAGCTACTCGAGCCTCTACTTATGGCTCCCCTCGACTACGCTTCTGATCTGCTTGCAACCCTAATTGGCGGCAGGTCCCCCCTTTTTGCTATATTTTATTTTAATTTCTTTTTCTTTATTTATCTCAAAAATAGGACTATAAAAATCATATAAATTCATAGAAAATCACATAATTAGTCACAAATTCACGTTAATCAATTGAAAATCATTTTTCACAATTTAACACAAATATAAGTCTATTTATCATGAGTTAAGGCTAAAACTATATTATTTACTAATTATTAACTCATGATAATGAAGACTTTTCAAATGGTATGCAATTACACGTGTAGGGCTGATATATGCCTTCTTGTGAGCTAGTTTATTTGAAATCACTTGATTTAAGATTGTGAGTGAGTGAGGGTCTTCTTGTCTTTTTGGCTGTGATAAAATGGAATGAGAGTTAGTTTCCTTTCGGACTGATCTGAAGCATTCGATTTGAAAGTTTGGTCATAGCCATAGGATCTTCTTTAACGTCGAGATCCACTACACCCCCAACAAGTACACTCCATCTACCATTGATCTTGTAGACACTCTTGACGGTTTCTGATCTCTTTATTTGGTGATGCCGCATGTTAGTACCTCAGCCCTTAGTCTTGTTGCATCATCTCTGAATCAAATCTTATCCATAGAAGTGTATATCAACTTCTTAAAATTCATTAAAAGATATCAAAAATTCTTGAAATTCCCTCATATTAGTAAAAAAATCAATTATGATGATAAAATTCAGCATAAAACTTCTGATTTTTTTTCTAAAATATTAAAATTTATAAAAAAATCAAAGAAATAAGAAATGCTATTTTTTAATATGATAACATGTAATATCATAAGATTTAAGCTCTTAAATAAGATAATTCTTACTCTTTTTGCATGATAATCAACATGTTATTAGAAACCTTAGGCGATTGAGCCAACTTAGTGGGTTTAGGATTTTTTGAGCTCCATATCATGTGAATGTAGGTGTGTCAATTTGGAGTGCTCTTCATCTTGCCTAAATGACGTCTCTCCCGCTACTTTGAGTGAACGCCTCTTTCTAGTAGAAGTAAAAAAGGAGCAATGACACTAGGTTAGCTTCGAGACAAGGGAAGTTAGATTTTAGTTACAAATTTAGGAGTAGAAGTCACAATCACGGTTGCCATTCTTACGCCAGTCAAATCTAAGAAATTGGATCTAAACTCATCACCGTCTTTTCTCTCTTTCTAGTCTACAACCTCTCGTTTTCTTCTCTATTCTATCCTTCATTAGAATGAACATTAATCAATAATCCCAAATTCCTTGAGGAGACAACTTGACTCACTACTATCTACGAGTATTTTGCAAACCAAATTAAAATATAATTCATTATATTTTTGATTGAAGAGATTAAGAGTTAATGATACCTATAGAAAATCATATTCAGCAAATGGTGCTGTTGTTAGGGAATTTCGAGTGCTACACAATTTTATGCATGCTCTTTTTAATGAAGATGCTTTTAATTTCTTGAGTTTTATCTACAAAAGACAAGGTAATGTGGATACTGGTCAATTACTAAACGAAACTTTTTAGAACCTGATCTCGAGAAATATAACCCTCCAATTCCTTTACATGAAGCTTTAAAGGACACTAAGTTCAAGGTTATAGATCAAGATATAAAAAAATCTAGAAATTTTTAAGCAAGTCACTATTAGTATTCCTTTGATAGATGCAATCTAGCATATTCCTTCTTAGATTAAATTCTTAAGAGTATTATGTACTCCTATGAAGAAACATAAATACATTTAATTATTTTAAATAATAAATTTAATTTTACTAAATCAAATTTCAATAAAGCGACAAGATTTAAGATCTCTTCTCATCAAGTTTGAGATTAAAGTTATGATTTTTACTTGCTCTTTACTTGATTCAGAGACAATTGCTAATATATTGCCCAAAGCTCTATATGATATATATAAACTTCGTGATTTACAACCTTTTTTTGTTGAGCTATAGCTAGCAGATAGATCAGTTTGACAGTTCTATGGAGTTTTAGAAGACGTTATAGTGAAAATTGAGAGTTGTTATTTTTTGGTAAACTTTATTATCATTGATATAAAGATAACATAAAATATTAGTCATACCTAAATAATCTTAAGATGTCTCTTTTAGGCCATGGATAAAACCACAACATATTGGGGTGAGGAGACAATAGAATTAAAATTTTGGCAAGAGAAAGTTGAGTTGAAAATTGTAAAATTATTGAAGTATCTTGACCAATCTGAATATTTATGAAGAATTGATGTTGCTTATGTGTGTACAGAATTTTTTTCAGTGAAGAGGCAGGTGACATGCTTGAGTCCCCCATTGACATCGATCTGGGAAAAGCCCCTGCAGCTCTAATGAGTCTTCCTTCAATCTTGAAGCTGCTGACTTTTCACATAAAGTATGTATATCTAGGCTCACATGTTACACTTCCTATTGTTATTTCCTCTTGCTTGACAATAGAACAAGAGGAGAAGTTAGTGAGCACACTAAAGCAATACAAGCTAGCCATTAGATGGACTCTTTCAGACATCTAATGTATTAGTCTTGAGGTATGCATGCATAGACTTTTTACAAATGAAAATGTGCAGCCAATTAAAGATGTCCAGCAGAGACTTAAGCCAAAAATGTTGGAGGTAGTCAAAGCTAAAATAGTGAAGTGACTAGATGTTGGGAAAATCTATGTCATTTCTAACAGCCCCTGGGTAAGAACAATTCATGTTGTCTTAAAAAAAATCAGGAATTACAGTCTGTATAAATGATAGGGGAGAGGAGATTCAAATCTGCCTAACTACTAGTTGGAGGGTATGTATTGATTATAAAAAATTAAACCAAGTCACTAAGAAAGACCACTCTCCCTTGTCATTTATAGATTAAATTTTGAAACATCTAGCATGTCACTTTTTTTTTTCTTGATGGATACTTGGGGTATAATCAGGTTAAAATTTTTCTAGATGATCAAGACAAGACACCTTTTACCTACCCCTTTGGTATGTATGTTGACGTGACTTAGTTGTTGTATAGTAAATCACGCAAATTTAAAATTTATAAAACTAGAAAATACGAATTTTAAGATATTTAGAAGTATTTCTAAACAAATATATCAAGTATAATTCAATAAAACTTCTAAAAATAGTAGTAATTTTCCAGGTCGATCACAGGGATGTAATATAATATCTGGTAATTATTCAGAATTTTCCTCAAAGAATACTATTTTCTATGAATTTTATACTAATAAATAAAAAGAAAATATATTTAAAATTCACAAAAAAGGGAAATAAGGGTGCGGACGTCAAGATGACGTCAACGCCCAGTGAACGCGAATCGGGTGAAAACAAAGTTCCACCTGAAAATTCTTACGTAAGTGATTACAGACGATTTAATTGATCAAATTAAGATCTGTAAAAGTCGGAAGAATCGTAAGTGAACGAAGTATATTTTGGTAAATTCAAATCACACAAATTATCACTAAATGAAGTGTAATGTAAGTTGAAAGTAGGAAAACAGAGTTCCGACATCGTGGCGGCGATGCATCGGCGATGCACTGGAATCCTGAGCGTTCGAGAGGATAGTCGTGCAGTGTCCACAGCCTCGAAGGCTCTCCTTAGACAAGGACGATGTAGGCAATCTCTAGATCTCCTTGCGAAGTCTAGAGATCAATGAAATAGGTTGTTGAATCATCTCTGGCGGTTGTCACCCGGTGGAGCAGAAAAATGATGACTTTGCGGCTCTCCGGCGGTTGTCACCTGATAGAGAAGAGCTGGATGAAGGTGAGGTGCGTGTTAAGGAGCTTCATCCTCAGGTCCACACAGCAAGAGGAGGCTCTTCATCACATTTGGTACGCTCTCAGGAGGTGGCGACTCGTCTCTCGGCAGATCATCTTCTTCTTGACGACGGCTTGTTCGTTGATCAATCGGAGATGCTTTACTCGATAGATTCACAATCCTTTTATTGTGAATCGTTCAGAAATTTTAGTAATAATACTTTGTGAATCGCGTTGACGAGATTTTTGCCAATAATCCAACGATTCTGGTTGCTTCATCCTTCATCGGCGATTTGTAGGAAAGTCACGATAATTAGAAAAAAAATATGAGTTTTGGCTCTAGGAGGATTCAAACCCGCGCCAATTGCCTGCCCTTTCTGGGAAAGGTGACACGGGTTTAGTCCCACATCAGTTGTGCGCCAAAGTTTCTAACAAATATAAAGTAATATTACATTCCCGATCAAGTCCCTTTCTCGTGCGTGTATGACCACTCCTTGCCCCATAGCTGGCTGGCCACCGGTGATGTGGAAGGGGAGTGGCGCACACGTGCCCCCATTGGTTCAAGTCGCTTGAGCCCTTGCTCGCGGCTCCTGCCCGACTACACTTCTGACCCACTTGCGGGCCTAGCTGGCTGGCACCCCCCCCATTTTGTTATATTTTTTTTTTATTTCTTTTCCTTCATTTATCTTAAAAGTAAGACTGTAAAAATCATATAAAATAACATAATTACCCAAAAATTCACGTTAATCAACTGAAAACCACTTTTCACACTTTAACACAAATATAAGTCTATTTATCATGAGTTAAGGCTAAAACTATATTATTTACTAATTATTAACTCATGATAATGAAGACTTATCATATGTCTTCACTAGAATCCTTTTTGGGCTATGCAATGCACCAGCCACCTTCCAATGGTGCATGAGTACCATGTTTTTCACATTAGTAGGGGACTGTTTAGGGATATTCATGAACAATTTCTCTATTTTCAGTCAAACTTTTGATGAATACTTGATTAATCTAACTAAAGTTTTGTAAATTTTTCTAGAGAAAAAGTTGGTATTGAGTTAAGAAAAGTTCAATTTCATGGTCACTGAAGGCATGGTATTAAACCACTTGGTCAGCTAGCGAGAATTAGAGGTCGACAAGGCAAAAATAGAGGTTATACAAAACCTTTATCTTCCCACTTCTCTATATGTCAACTACACACCTTCTTAGGTCACATAGGTTTTTATCAACAATTTATTAAAGGCTTTGTTAATCTTGCTAAACCACTAACCCAACTTCTAGCTAAGGAGTAAAATCTTGTGATGCTACAAGGGAATCGGCCTTCCTAAAAATCAAGCAAGCTCTTATCAAGGCCTCTATCCTCCGAGGTCACGATTGGACTCATCCTTTTGAGTCAATGTGTGATGCCTCTAATTTTGTAATGGGAGCTGTTTTGAGTCAATGAATTGACAAGAAATCAGTCACCATATTACACTAGTAAGACTCTTGCCAATGTCTAATTAAATTACAGTAGTACTAAAAAAGATTTGTTGGCCATTAGATAAAAAGATTGTTAAATAATTTTAGATAAAAAGATCATGAATCTATCGAGTAAATCATCTCTGATTGATTGATGAACAAGTCGTTGTCGAGAAGAGGACGATCCACTATGAGATAAGTTGTCACCTCTTGAGAGCATATCATATGTAATGAAGAGCCTCTTTTTACTATGTGGACGTGAGGATGAAGTTTCCTAAGATGTACTCTACCTCCATCTCACTTATCTCTATTGGGTGACAGCTGTTGGAGATCTACAAAATTATTATATTTTTGCTTCACCGGGTGACAATTGGCAAAGACGATTTGTTAACCCACTTTATTAATTTCTAGACTTCACAAAAAGATCTAGAGATTGTTCACATCATCTATGTCTAAGGAAAGCTTTTGAGACTATGGACATTATTCGATTGTCCTCTTAGACACTTAAGATTTTGACATATTGTCGTTGTGATGTTAGAACTTTATTTTATGTTTTTAACTAATTTAACTTTCACCATTATTTTCTAAACTTTGAAAGTAGATTTAGGACATGCTCAAGTCGTCCATATTAAAGGAGAGCCCTTGAGGCAATAGATATTGCACGATAATCATCTCAAACACACAAAATTTAAGTAATCACTATCGCGAGGCCAGAACTTTATCTTTTCTACTTTCAACTTAATTTATACTTAATTTAGTGATATTTTTTATGATTTTAAGTTTTGAAACTCTTATTCATTAAATTAAAATTATTCTAACTTTTACAAATCTTAATTTGTCCAATTAAATCATTTTTAATTACTTAAGTAGGAATCACCAAGTGAAACTCTATTTGTATCTGATTCACATTCATCAAGGTGCTAACATCATCCTAATGCACACACCTTATTTCCCTTTTTTGTGAATTTTAAATTTATTTTATTTTCATTACTTAGTCTAAAACTCATAAAATAATATATTCTTTGCAAAAAAAATAAAATATTATCTGATATTATATTACATCCGTGTGATTAACTAAGAAAATTCTCACTATTTTTGGAACTTTTATTGAATTATAATGAATATATTTATTCAAAAATACTTATAAATATTTGGAAATTAGTATTTTCTAATTGTATAAATATTTAAATTCACGTGATTTATTATGCAATGATTAGGTCACATCAATTATGCATGCATACTAATGTACTAATTTTAGATATTTTTTCTAATGAGCATTTGGTTATTATTAATACATGTAAAATAACTTGGTATGCGGATATAGTTAATTACTTGGTAACATGACAATTACTTTATAACTGGCTTACAAGTATTAAATGAAGTTTTTTTAGTGAAATGACATATTACTTTTAGGAAGAACTAGAATTATTTCACTTAAGAGTTGATCAAATCCCCTACAAATGTGTTCTAGAAGAGGAGCAATTTAATATTTTGACTATGTGACATTCTTCTACATGTGGGGGACATGTTGCCTCTAAAAAGATTGCTACAAAAAATTTCAAAGTGGATTTGATTGACTAATTATTTTTCGAGATGCTCATAACTTCTATAGGTCATGTACAACATGTCAAGCTACTTTGAACATCTCTAAGAGAGATGCAATGTCACTCCAATTAATTTTAGAGGTAGAAATTTTGGATTTATGGGGAATTGATTTTATGGGACTGTTTCCTCCTTTTGCAAGTTATGAATATATTCTTTTGGCTGTGGACTATGTTTCAAAATGGGTAGAAGCCATACCCATTAGAACAAATAATCACAAAATTATTCTGAAATTTATTGTTCAAAATAGATTATCTCGGTCTGACTATCCTCATGCCATCATTAGTGATGGGAGATCTCACCTTAACAATAGTCATTTTTTGAGTTTGCTTAAGAAATATGGTGTCAAATATAGAATCACGACCCTATATCATTCCCAAGCTAATGACAAAGTAGAACTCAATAGTAGAGAGATTATTTAAAAAAAAATTTTAAGTTCAACTTATGTAGTGATTGAATTAAGGAGAAATCGAGAAGAAATCCATCATTTGTATTGGATGGATGATTAGGACAAATCCACATTCATCGCCACCAGAGGAGAGAGAAAATGATTGTGAGGAGAGATAGATCGATCGAAGATGTCTCATTCTTCCTCTTCTAGTGTTTTTTCATCTTCATGTGTGTTAATTTTGCCGATTTCATCGAATCATCTCCCATACTTCTCACTGTATTCATTACGTCGGTCATTGATGTGGAAAACCTAAAAAAAGAAATTAATCTCATATTTTAATTTAATTATTATTATATTATTATTTATCATAATAAGCTCAGAAAAATATAGAAAAAATTAATAAGAATTCAGAAATAAATGCAACATAGATTATAACAATTTACAAATATTTCTGTAAAATTAAATTATAAAATATAAAATATTAATCATTTTTATCATGTAATTAACGAGAGTTATCATTAACCCACAGCTGACCTTTTGCCAGTCAGCTGAAGCAATGGTGCGCATGTACCAGTCTCCCAAATCAACTTGACATGATTCTCTTACGTCAGGCAGATTTGAGGATTGCGATAGTCAAAGCAAAATCTAAATACGACTTTTCAATTAATAATCATCATGGCAGGCAAAAGTAGTTGTCTAAGCTGTTGGGAATGTGGTGGACAATGACTCCATCTTTAATTTAAGATTGACCTAAAGGAATATTAGTGAGAAAAACGAAAAAAAAAGATATTCTGGTCCTAAGGGACTTGAGGAAAACTATTCACCGAAGCCAATTACAACCAAGCTATATTCCCACTCCCAAATTTTTGCGGTATTGAATAGCGACAGACAGTCAACGCGGCAGACTAGCAAGCTAACACCTTAGTTTATCATATTTCCGTTGCCGATACAACTGCAAACAGGATAGATTATTGTGGAGATATTCCTCGTTCAGTGTTCGTCAAGAAGATAGGCGCAACAATATAAACGCTTGACATCTTGGAAGCCGTAAACAATTATACAGTCGTCTTCAATCGGTACATCTCCTTTTTTCCGTCAAGCATGCGTTCACCTTAGAGTTCAAACTTCTTCAACGAGCTCAAGGCTCGTAAGAAATTCGATACGGAATGCGCCTATACCTAACATACTCTCATATGCGTTCGGATGGATTTTCTTCATCCTCGTCAACAAATGTTTTCATTTAAGAGGTCGGCCTCCAAGTTTTCTCCCAGCCTTAGACATCAAGTAGTTGTAGCTGCAGTCCAATAAATGAGATAACGAACAGATATAGGACCAGCAAACGTAAACTGAGAACAGCCCGAAAGTCGTACAACCATTCCAATCAATTCCAGCAGCCAACTCCTGGCTGTATTTGCTGAACTGTCAAGAAAGCAACTCCTGGAAGGGTAACCTCTCGTTGCTGTTAGAACGAGCACTATAAGATCACCCTCCCTATTCCAACACTCAGGCATGAACTGAGAAGCAGCGTTGCCTCTTCATTCCTCCAATCGTCCTTTTAGGTGTTTTAGCAGCGGACTCATTATGGCTTCAAAATCTCATGTCATAGCTGCAGTCCTCGTCTTTCATTTGCTGTTCTCTTCATTAGTTTCTGGCCAAACCCCTTCACCTCCTCCGCCACCCATCGGGCTTCTGCCATGTGTTATTAACGTGTTGTCCCTAGCAATTTGCGCTCCGGTGCTGTTGGTCCTGAAATTACTTGGAATCGGAAATCCTAATGGGCCCTGCTGTACCCTCATCAGAAGCCTGTCAGCGAACCAGGCTGCTTCCTGCCTTTGCCTCGCGGTCAGAGTGAACATCCTTGGTCTCAACATTAGCATCCCAGGCGATATCGGGCTTCTTGTGAAATTATGTAACGTGACCCTGCCGATTGGTTTTGGCTGTCCCACCTAGTCGGCGAGGATAAAGTTATCTGGTCTTTTTTTTTCCATAAATGCTACAGTGTTTGTCGGAGCTCCTCCTGTGATGTATGTTCCAGTCTGCATGTTTCTCGTCAACGAGCGTGCTCTAGTCTGTCGGATCCTCCCATGCTTTTGCGTGAGAGTTATTTGAAATAAAGGTGTGACTTGCGTATCTTGAAATCTGGCGTTCGCTGTATTACATATTTTATTTACGGACGATTTGGTTTATCTAGGAGCATACTCACGAATTCAGCCCTACGTGTCATGTAGAACACATCCGTTGTATCAGTCCTGAATCGCTCGCACGCCACCACTCCGTGATCTTCTTCAGCATAAATATTCCATGTTATTTCTTCAGAGCTGAATGCTCACACAGATGGGCGAAAATAGAAAGGACTAAAGACAGTGAGGTGTGAGGGATTGGCAGGTCCTCGTTTAGCTCGTTTGGAGGATTAACTTGTCGGATGCGCGGGGAACCATAACCTTAGGCAGAAAGAACTTTTACTGTGATAGAGAAAGCTCAGGTTCGACAGTCTGCGGAGTTTCCGCCTAAGGGAATTCTTGCAGATATTGCTTCATTAACACGAAAAGGTCGCAGATCTGTACGGTTCAGGGATTCGTTTCATTAACACGAAAAGAACTGTGCATCCACCTCGTTTGGACCTTTTTGCTTTCTCCAAAAGCTCTGAGAGGCCTTGATTCCCGCTCCCACTGTCAGGGACATGTAAACTGACCTACAAAAGAAAGTCTTCGTGAGAACCCAACAACTCCCTTAATGGACTTCTAAACATTTGCACACTCAAATGGGTCATCACCAAAGAAGCATGATCTCTTTCTCGCTTTAGGGCGGGGAAGAAGAAGTGAACTTGCTAGACTAACAATTTGGAAGCCAGTACATGGTGGGTTTACCCGACAAAATTACTGCATTAGCCCTTCTTTGTGACAGAAACGTGAACTGCTTCCGGTTTTTCATATCAACAAAAGTTCATTTCAAAGGCTAACATGAAGAAGACAAGTTTGTCCCTCCCTTATTCTACTACTGGAAACAGGAAGCGTTACTGTGCACAAATGGGGCACCTCTCATCGGTGAACTACAGTAACTGGGCATGTAAATTCAGCCAAGCAGGAGAAGGGGAGGTCACCCTTATACAAATTGAACTTTTAACTGTTTACATGTAAGTGTGACATGTCAGGACTTTTTAAGGTAAATCGTTGTGTCTGGATACGTTCCACTCTGCACTATTTATCGTCCTGTTCTTTCTGGTGGGGTATTTAGCCTATGCTATGTAAAGATATCAGACTTAGTGGGACTATGCTTTATTTGTTATGAGAAGACAGTTTAAATAATAAATGACTGTAGGGATTTTGTTATCAAATTGCATACTTGTTGACCTATTACAAAAATAATTATTTGCAGCTTTATCAAATTCAGGAAGTGAATTGTGCAAAGGCTTCTAGTTCTTAGAATGGAGTTCGTTCCAGTTTTAATTTCCCAAAGCAAGCAACTTGTGGCTGTCCAAGTACAACAACTCTCTTTTTTGAACTGACAGAATATATGTACATTGTTGGGAACTCACTTTATCTTCAATTTCTCTGATGCTAACGAAAGAAGAAGATACTTAAGAAGGAAAATTCTACCTTAATAGGCCTAGGTTGATGTACTAATGATGTAGAGGAACCCGCCTACTTCTTCAATCCCCATCAGGCCTCACTTGATCTACTAACATCAAGTACATTTTAGAAGATATTGTGCACTTTGTAAGTTATGGTTGATAAATACAAATGTGAACCTAGAGATGAAGGAAGAGAAAAGATAAAGTTCATTTGAGATTTTATCTCATATTACTCAATAAGGAGATGTGAGAGATTGTGAGAGACTGTGAGAGATTATGAGGGTCATTTGCTCTACAATGAGAGACTATGAGGGTCATTTGCTCTACAATGAGAGACTATGAGGGTCATTTGCTCTACAAAGAGAGTGACATAACTTAGTCGTTGTATAGTAAATCATGTAAATTTAAAATTTATAAAACTAGAAAATACCAATTTTTAGATATTTAGAAATATTTCTTAAAAAATATATTAATTAGAATTCAATAAAAGTTTAAAAAATAATGATAATTTTTCAAGTTGATCACAAGGATGTAATATAATATCAGATAAGTTTTCAGAATTTTTCTCAAAGAATATAATTTTTTATGAACTTATACTAAGAAATGAAAATAAAATATATTTAAAATTCACAAAAAATGAAAATAAGGGTACAGATGTCAGGATGACATCAGCCCTTGACAAATGCGAATTGGACAAAAATAGAGTTCCACTTAGTGATTCTTACGTAAGCGATTACATATGATTTAATTGATCAAATTAAGATCTGTAAAATTCGAAAGAATCGTAATTGAATAAAGTATAGTTTAGTAAATTTAAATCACATAAATTATCACTAAATGAAGTAGAAATTAAGTTAAAAGTAAGAAAATAGAGTTATGACATCGCAGCGGTGATGTGTCAATGATACATCAGAATCTTGAGTGTTCAGGAAGATCGTTGTGCAGTGTTTATGACCTCGAAGGCTTTTTTTGGACAAGGACGACGTGAGCAATCTCTAGATTTCCTTGCGAAGTCTAGAGATTAATGAAATGGGTCATCGAATTCTCTTTGATGACTATCACCCGACAGAGTGGAAAAATGACAACTTTGTGGCTCTTCAACAACTGTTACCTAACGGAAAAGAGCTGGATAAAGATGGAGCGCGTGTCATGGAGCTTTATCCTTAGGTCTGTGCAATAAGAATAGGCTCTTCATCGCATCCGGTATGCTCTCAGGAGGTGGTGACTCGTCTCCTGACAGATTGTTCTTTTCCCGACGACGACTTGTTCGTTGATCAATCGGAGATGATTTACTCGATGAATTCACGATTCTTTTATCGCGAATCGTTCAACAATTTTAGTAACAATACCCTGCGAATTACGTTAACGAGATTTTTGCTGATGATCCAGCGATTCTAACGGCTTAATCTTTCACTAACTATCCACAAGAAAGTCACGATAATCAAATAAAAATATGAGTTTTGGCTTTGGGAGGATTCAAACCCATGCCGGTTGCCCACCTATATGAGAGAGATTGAAATAAGTACTCTAATATCTTTATCAAGTGACATCATCATGGTATATCTATGTTATAATTATGGGGTAGTTTAGGTATTAAAATCTTCGAAGTTTTTCGAGAGAAGGTGTGATGCGGATTTAGTCCCACATCACTTGTGCGCCGAAGTTTTGGGCGAATATATAGTAATATCACATTGTAAGTAATGAGTCTTTTTCTCCCGCGTGTACGATCAGTTGCCTCATAGCTAGCTGGCCACTGATAATGTGGAAGGGGAGTGACGCACACATGCCCCCATCGGTCCTTAGTTGCTTGAGTCCCTACTCGTGGCTCCCCTCAACTATGCTTTCGACCCGCTTGCGGGCTCAGTTGGTCGGCAGGTCCCCCCTTTTTGCTATATTTTTATTTTAATTTCTTTTTCTTCATTTATTTCAAAAGAAGAATTATAAAAATCATATAAGTTCATAGAAAATTATATAATTAGCCAAAATTCACGTTAATCAACTGAAAATCACTTTTCACAATTTAACACAAATATAAGTCTATTTATCATAAGTTAAGGCTAAAACTATATTATTTACTAATTATTAACTCATGATAATAAAACTTATGAAAGAGGTTGTAAGGTCATTCACTCCACAAAGAGAGGTCGTGAGGGGTTGTTATCTAACACCATCATCATGTCAACTGCTATCATTCACTATTCTTTATCTATCAGCCACTAACGTCATCCACCATCAGCCAATCACATGTCGTCCGTCATTTGCTTTCCACTATCTACTACTATTGCAGTCCATCTATGTTGGCTCGATTGTTGCCATCAACTACTATCATTGTCTTCGCCGCCGTCTCAAGCCATTGCCATCATCATCAGCCCTACTGCCACTATTTGTAGTCACCACATTGCCATCACCCCCTCATTAGTGTTCCATTGTTGAAACTATCATCCACCACTCCATTGCCCATTGTCCTCAACTCCACTAGTCATTCCTTTCCACTACCACTTGCTTGGCCCATTTTGAACAATGTTCCATCCCCATTTCAATGGGTCTAATTAAATCTCTACTAGTTTGTGACTATTGATCTGCTTGATTAAATCAGGCCTCTTCCACCCAGCCTAAGGTAGATTGACGTGACTTAGTCGTGTATAGTAAATCACGTAAATTTAAAATTTATAAAACTAGAAAATACGAATTTTTAGATATTTAGAAGTATTTCTAAACAAATATATCAAGTATAAATCAATAAAACTTCCAAAAATAGCGATAATCTTCCAAGTCGATCAAGGGATGTAATATAATATCAGGTAATTATTCAGAATTTTCCTCAAAAAATATTATTTTCTATGAATTTTATACTAAGAAATGAAAATAAAATATATTTAAAATTCATGAAAAAGGGAAATAAGGGTGTGAACATCAAGATGATGTTAGCGCCCGGCAAACGCGAATCGGGTGAAAATAGAGTGCCGACCGACGATTCTTACATAAGCGATTAGAGATGATTTAATTGATCAAATTAAGATCTATAAAATTCAGAAGAATCGTAATGAAATGAAGTATATCTTGGTAAATTTAAATCACACAAATTATCACTAAATGAAGTGAAAATTAAGTTGAAAGCAGAAAAATAGTGTTCCGGTGTCGCGACGGTGATGCGTCAGCGATGCACCGGAATCTTGAGCATTCAGGAAGATCGTCGTGCAATGTCCACGGCCTCGAAGGCTCTCCTTAGACAAAGATGACATGGGTAATCTCTAGATCTCCTTGCGAAGTTTAGAGATCAATGAAATGGGTTATCGAATCGTCTCCGGCGGCTGTCACCTGGCGGAGCGAAAAAATAGCGACTTTACAGCTCTCCGGTAGTTGTCACCCAATGGAGAAGAGCTGGATGGAGGTGGGGCGCGTGTCAGGGAGCTTCATCCTCAAGTCTGCATAGTAAGAAGAGGCTCTTCATCACATCCGGTATGCTCTCAAAAGGTGGCGACTCGTCTCTCGGCAGATCGTCCTCTTCCCGACAATGGCTGGTTTGTTGATCAATCGGAGATGCTTTACTTGATGGATTTGCGATCCTTTTATCGTGAATCGTTCATCAATTTTAGTAGCAATACTCTACGAATCGCATTGACGAGATTTTAATTGATGATCCAATGATTCTGGTTGCTTAATCCTTCACCGGCGATATACAAGAAAGTTGTGATAATCAGATAAAAAATATGAGTTTTGGCTCTGGAAAGATTCAAACCTGCACTAGTTGCCCACCTTTTCTAGGGAAGGTGTGATGTGAGTTTAGTCCCACATTACTTGTGCGCCGAATTTTTGGGTGAATATATAGTAATGTTACATCTGCAAGCAAGTCCCTTTCTCGCACGTGTACAACCACTCCTTGCTCCACAGTTGGCTGGCCACCAGTAATGTGGAAGGGGGGTGGCGCACACGTGCCTCTATCGGTCTGAGCCACTTGAGCCCCTGCTCGTAGCTACTCCCTAACTATGCTTCCAACCCACTTGCGGGCCCGGCTAGCCAGCGGTTCCCCCCCATATTTTTATTTTTATTTCTTTTTCTTCATTTATCTCAAAAGTAAAACTATAAAAATCATATAAATTCGTATAAAATCACATAATTACCCAAAAATTCACGTTAATTAACTGAAAATAACTTTTCACGCTTTAACACAAATATAAGTCTATTTATCATGAGTTAAGGCTAAAACTATATTATTTACTAATTATTAACTCATGATAATAAAAACTTATCATAGATCAAGGCTGCTTAGTCTGTATGAGCTTGTCTTGCTAGTATAAACCATTCCAGACTGCTTGGTCAAAGTGAGCTATTTGATGAACTAGGACTTTAATCTTGAATGTCGTTGAGTTCAAGAATCATATCTATCAAAGAATTTAATGTTTGGACTTAAACTAACTTAAATGTAGCTAGGATAGTATAAGTCAATCCACAAAGAATGAGGTTTGGGTAATTTGATAGCCACTAATTTGATTAAATGAAGTATGAGGATGATAAGGCGGAGAGCGATTAATGGGGGAAGAACAAAAGATGAATGATGAAATATAAGCATAAAACAAAGGAAATCCGGATGAAAATTCTGGATAGAGAGTGGAACACTAGTCAGATGCATGAAAATTAAATCTGGAAGTATAATCCTATTTATTCTAATGTTAATTTGAGATGAGATGATGCTAGGAGGAGATGTCCTCGAAGCCACGCAGGGCACTAAAAGCAATGCATGGGACACCGAGAGGCGATGCATAGGGCATCGGTGGGAGTGCACAAGTGCTTACAGTCGGTGCAGGCACGGCGACATGCCGAACAAGAGTATAGGATGACGCTAGACAAGCGCTAGATGGGCACGCAGGTGCCTATGGTAGGAGGCGCGGTAGGCATGTAGGGCTACGCAGACTCGGCCTTGGATAGGCACACAAGGTGGCACTACAGGAGATTGCATCGGGTGAGGATATGTGATGCCGAAATAGGAGAAGAGGCAGAGTGGCGGTGGTAGAGAAACCCTATGGCTTTGATGCATTGTTGATGAAAGAAAGAGGAAACCCTAGAATTGATGTATTGAAGAAGAGGAATACATGAGGTTATAGAGAAGAGAGGAAGAAAGAGAGAGAGAGAGAGAGTGGAAGAAGTGGAGATCATGGAGAATAGGGACATGGAGAGAAGAAGTCCAAAATGGTCTTGGTGGGCCCATTGGGCTATTCTAAAAAGTCTAATTACATATTTTACAATGATATAAAGAAGAAATCTAATTGAATATTTCTTGCTTCGTATACGTCTTTTTTTGATATTCTCATAGACTCTAACATGTTTCCAAAGTCAAAAGTTTTAAGATTTTTTTTATTGAAGCAAGGTATTATACAATTTTTGTAGATTTTTCTACCAATTTTAGAACCTAACTAAGGGTCCAAAGGGTGCAACAAAAGAGGAGCAGGTCACCAAGAAATGGGTCACGATTTCACCTTAACCAAAGGCCCAACTTAAGACCACAACCAAGCCCAAAGGATGAGAAGAGAAGAAATGGGCCACGATTTCACTCTAAAGGAAGGCCCAACTCAAGACCAGAATCCCTCATGTTCTCTCCACCTTCTCACTACCTCTCCTTATCCTCTACACTCTCTCACAACTCTCTTACAATCTCTTCACCTTCTCACAACCTCACCTCATCCTCTAAAACTCTTTCATAGCCTTTCAGCCCTCTCACAACCTCTCCACCCTCTCACGACCTCTCCACTTTTTCTCATGACCTCTCTAGAGTCTTCCATCACTCAATGAGGAAACTCTTCAGAAGGTGTGGCGGTTGCAACCTTTCACTCTACTAGGGAGAACTCTCTAGAAGGTGTGATGGTTCTTACTCCCTTAAGAGTGTTGGCTGGTGCCTATAAATAGGGGGGATGGGGAATCTAAGGACATCATTCGAAGCTAGAGTTAGATTAGGATCATTATTTCATCTCTTTAGAGAGATATATATGAGAGTTTCATGGTGACATTAAGGGAGTCACAATTGTAAGTTTTTGACTTTTCATCAATTCAAGCATGCTTTGTTCCTTATAATTTTTTTAATTTCAAAAATTTTCTATGCTCAAATTTGAATCTGAATCTCCTTTAATCCACACTCTTTTTGATTTCTTACAACTAAATTTTCTTTTAATTCTAAATTCATACTTGAATCAGGGACTTGATCCTTCTCCCCGTGACATGAAAATGATGCAATGCCGTCATTAGAGTTAGGATTGAATGGATGTTGATTAAAAATAATTTAGATTCATTTGAAATAGCTTAGATCCTTGCTTTCTCTCCACGTCATATGGAGGGAATGCAAACATGATCACCACAAACTTAATGTATTTATAACTTATTTTTATTCTAATGTTGATTTCAATTACCAATTTAGTTAACATGTTGTTCCATTTAACTCATTACTTGCATTCTCTTTTCTACGATTATTTCTTGTCTTATAACCTTTAATTTTTTACTTGTGTTAGCATTAATTCATTTTATAATTAGGTTGAATATAGTTCAATTCTTGTTTACTTGCATTCTTTTATTTTTCTCTTCTTCTATTTGTTGTGACACAAGAAGAGGAAAATAGATAATCAATTGTCTGATTTTACCATTCAACTCAATCTTAATTTTCTTTTAGAATTCTAAGAACTACTTTTAGATATTAATCTCTTTTAGAATTTTAATATGTTCATATCTAGGAATTAATCACCTAAAATACTTTTAACAATCCATAGTCTTAGGAGAATAAGAAAGAACCTACTTTAATAGTACCATCCCTAAGGACATGACCTAACTCACCAATTATACTAAAATACAATAAGAGGTGAAATTAGTAAAAATAATACTAATAAAAAGTATATAATTAAATTGAGTGTTTTCATTACAAGGACTAGGAATACAATGGCATCATTAGATTATGAAAATCGGAGGTGGTTGAGTGCATCCATGTGATCAATGGTGGATGATGGACACTTACCACAAGTGTAGATGTCAATATTACGAAAGATCCTATGGCTGTGACATGTTCTCCAAATTCAACATCCCAGATTAGCCTAAGATGAAATTAACTCATGTTTCATCTCAACAGAAATGACACAGAGACCCCTCCCCATTTATAGCCCCAGATCTGGTGATTTAGAATTAATTAGGACACGAAAATTGGTAGATCAGTCCTACACATGTACATCTCTACCTTATGTAATAGTCACGAATTTAAGCAGCCATTTTAGGGGCCATAAGACCTAACTTGGGATGCCACAACATTCAGCTGGCTTATATGAAACGACCTTGAAGTTTCACATCATTCTTGATGCATTTTCATTGATTCATATTGGTTTTTGATAACATGATAAATATAATGATAATATCTATGATTTCATATGTTTTTGAGCTCAAAAGTTTGCCAAGATCATGTTAGTAATAGTACAAAGATGAATATGAGTAATGACTCCTTGTTTATAAGCTCTCATAAAAATATGTTGATATATATATATATATGAATTTCATGATTACTATGAAATTATTAATGATATAAATATACAAGGAATGTATGCTATCTTGCCAATATTAACCATTAAATACCCTGCTCTATTTTCATGCACACGTGAACACTATTGATTTATTTTCTTATGGCTAACCTGTTTGATTTCTTGGAAGTCAAATAGTGCTATTATTGATGAATATTTTTTAGTATGTGATGTGCAAGAATTAGACAAATTTAATTAAATGATTAGTTTGAGGGCATGAAGGTCATCAGGCTGAAAGTAAGAGGTCATGCAGCACGTTATGGGCCAAGAAAGGCTTGAAGGAGGAGAGTGGAGTGCACGCACTTGCTCTATTGTCGCATATAAATAGAAGTTTGTTAATGCTGCTTTGGTGGCCAATTTTCATCTTCGCAGGTGAAGCGTCTCGTTCATAATGGAAAGAAAGATACCAACAGTTCACCTCTTTGTTGAACCACCACTACAAACATAGTGGTGGTCTTTGACCAGGACTAGGAACCCATGAACAGGAAGGGGAAAGATAACCCAAGAACAGGAGGCTAGCCCCAGCACTTTCAATGGAAATTTCCATCTTTCAAGGAAGGGCAAGGTTCCCTAGTCATTCAATAAAAAGCTAGAAGAAAGAAAGCTAAATAGAGGGAGCTGTTAGGTGACAAATCAGCTGGAGAGGAGAGGTTGATTTGGTGTTTCTCAAGTGGGTAAAGTAGTTTGCAATATTAGAATGTGGATCTTCCACCAAGATGCACTAGGTCAACTCGAGCTTGGGCTACAAATAGGCATATTCCTCAAATTACAGCTGGATGGAACCGTTGAGATTCAAAAAGCTAGGTTTCCAAGAAAATAAGCAGTAGGTGGAAAGCAAAAACTAATAAACCAGCCTCTCACTAATTGTTTGTTTGGCTGAATGAGGGAACATGGCATCGATGGTAAATCAACAGGACTATACAAGGTCATGTCGATTGATCCAAGTGGCTACGAATTTGTGTTAACCATTTTTTTCTCCACCCTCTACTTCCTTACCTCAAGTTTTATTCAAGAAATCCCCTATTGTATAGAAACTATTTATGATTTAAGATACTTTGTGAGTCACATCTTACATGCTTCATAGAATGCAATTCTTTATTAGGATAATAGGCCAAGGACAGTCTGAAGCTAGTCATAAAAAATAATGATATATCAAGGAACCAAAAGATAGTAAATTCAAAAGTGGAATGAGAAGAGGTAGGAACTGGTTTTGGGAAAGATGAAAAGTACAGTTTTTCATTTCATTCCAAAATCTGAAATAACTTTAAATTCGAATCTCTTTCTCTCAAAGTCCCATGATTAGTAATCTAGAATGATTGGGTAAGCTTTCAGTGCCCAGATTGAACCTAACCTTGCCCCATGCAAACGAACCAAATCAGTCCATTGATAGCCGTCCAGGTCACTCA